TCCCACCTCCAAATTGGAGATTGCTGTTGAAAGAGTCTCTCATGAAACAAGACAGGGGATGAAGGAATTCGGGTGGAAATTTTTAGCATCGGTCGTGTCGTTACTGGAGTTTAGTACAACTCCTGGGGTATTGCCGAAGGGAGTTGCTCTTGGTCTATTACTACATGCCAAATGGAAGTCTGGACAAGTACCTCTGTGGCCGGCCGAAGGTCACTCGAATTGGACACAGAGGTATTAGGTCATCAAAGGCGTAGCCTCGGGGCTATTTTATTTGCAAGAAGAATGGGAACAAGTTGTTATTCATAGAGATGTAAAGACCAGCAATGTTCTCTTAGACAGTGAATTGAACGGAAGATTAGGAGATTTCGGGCTGGCGAGATTGTATGATCCATGGAATGGATCCACAGACAACACACGTGATGGGTACTCGGGGTACCGAGCGGCAGAGCACACCCGAACAGGGAAGGCCACAACCAGCACTGATGTGTTAACTTTTGGTGCATTTTTGCTAGAAGTTGCCCGTGGAAGAAGGCCGATTGAGCCACGAGCTGAAACAGAGGATTTGATTCTGGTTGATCTGGTGTTTTCGTTTTGGCAAAGAGAGGAGACTCTTGAGGTCAAAGATCCAAAATTAGGGACGGATTTTGTAGCAAAGGAAGTGGAGTTGGTACTGAAGCTGGGGTTGCTCCGTTCGCATTCAGACCCCACAGCCAGGCCGAGTATGCGCTAAGTGGTGCGTTACTTAGAAGGGAATGTTCCTTTACCGAACTTATCAGCACTAGGCCTGACAGCTAATGGCCTAACGTTTGCCCATGGTGAAGGTTTTGATGACTTTGCCATGTCTTATCCGTCTTCCATGGGTAAAGCATACATGCATTCCTCTTCAGTTGCAGAATTCCCACTTTCAGGAGGACGATGAAATGAATCTTGAACTTTCATATTTTATTTATGTTTTGATCTATATATTTGTTACCAAATATGTTATACAGTTGTTTAGAGTCTTTGGGTATTGTTACTAATACAATGTAATGAGCTTCTCTCATTGTTGCAAACAGGAAAAATATATATTATTGAATTTTTTATATAAATTATGCCTAATGGTGATGACTGGGTTCAATGCAGCTTTAAAGTCCAAAATTCTGACAGGCTTGGTAACCCAGAAGTATAATGAGTTGAGTTTGATAACAGAATCAATACAGTTAAACAGGCCGACAGCCGGCCTAGCAACAAGGAGATGCATAGCTAATATCAATCTGGAAATGAAAAGATCAGGTATAAATTAGACCTTCGAATTAGTTTGTTAGAGAATATTATTACTTTTCTATTTACCCTCCATAGAACACAACCTGCTGAACTCAGTGGAGTCTGGCCAAGCGAGTTGCACAACAACACAAAATTTTTTTTTTCAAAACTATTCACTCCCCAAAGTGATTTTAAGGACACACCTCTCGTATCAATCTAGTGCATTTAAAGAAATTAGCTTTCTTTGATACTAACTTCAAAACTTAAACTATAAGATAACATTTATTTATCGGTAAATCTAACACTTAAAGTTACAACAACACAATAAATAAATAGGCAATAAACATCTTACGTCACCAACACATTAAAATGTTGCGACAATCATCCCCTCTTACTTATGAAGAAGAACTTGAACTATAAGACAACACTTATTTACCAATAAATCTAACCCTTAAAGTTACAACAATACAAAAAATAAATAAGCAATAAACATCTCAATTCACCAACACATTAAACTGTTGCGATGATCATCTCGTACCTACGAAGAAAAAGATTTTAAATTTAAATTGAGTTTATATTGGATGAATAAATGAGTAAGAGATCAAAAAAAGTAAACATCCTACTTCACTTAATCAATTAACTGTATACAATTATAAAATTTCAAAACTTGTGGGGCACTAGGACCACTACTCCCTACTAAATGCATTACTAGCTACTAGAGTTTGACAAAATTCGAAAAAGAAAATTTGAAGAGAAAAATGATTATTCTTTTCCTGAAGGAAAAACAAAGAACTTATGTCCTCCTCAACCTCAGCTACTTCCCTTTTGCAGCAATATTCAAACAACAAAAACAATCTACAAAATCTTCTTTTCCTTTGATATGAATTTGTTTGTTATTTACCTCTTTCTTTATCGTTCCACAAATTGATATGCTAGGAAAAGTGAGCTTTCCACAAACCTGTTGCATTATCATCCTTAATCGCTATAACTAAAAGAGACCATAATGATATATAAAATCATTGACCAAAAAAAAATTTCTAGATATAGATAAATGAACATTGTAAGCTTTGATCCATCATAAATAATGTAGTTTCGTGCTATTCACTAAGTTTAACCAAGTTGATGCATATCTACTGCCTACATAAAACAAATTAAGAGTTCAAAATTCTGCAATCGTCAAGCACTACTTAACTTTCAAAACACTAAGACATGACAAAATATAATTAATTTGGGCTTCTAATTCATCACTTTTCATTTGTTGCTCAATCAATTAAACATTTCTTTATTATAGATTTCTGATCTTTAATTTCTGTTCACGAAGGAACACAACAAAACCTTTCTTTCCCATGAAATTTCGTTGATTCTTCAGAAAGAATGCGAAAAGAATAGAATGAACAAACCAAGAAAGATGTCACTAAATATGATCCCAATGAATTTATTATGCCAAACTCCAGGGTTCATCTACTGAGATCGTCCTCGGCATCATCTGTATATCACCGGTTCTCATACCTATAAATATAGCTCAACCCCACTAACACCTCCACAATCGCCGCCTCTGTCTTCTCCAGGTCGGAGAAGTGCAGCGTCTGCAGCAACAGAACTGTTGGCTTCGCATCGAACCTCTGTTTCTCCAAATTCCTCTCTTGCTGCCACTTCACCGTGTCATGTGCCACGGGTGCCAGCCACGTCATTATCTCCTCCACTGCTTCCTTCCATCCCTGTGCCAGGCCCTCCCCTTCCCGCTCCTCTGCGTCCTTGTACCAGTGGCTCTTCAGCTTCCCCCTCACCGTCTGCTTCAAGCTTGCCGGCAACAACTCGTACATGTAGGCACGTGCCTCGTTGTCGATACTCGCTGGTACATTGAAGTACCTCTCCGCCATTATGATCACATTTGCGTACCGTACGGCAAGCCCTGCGCCTCCCACGGTGTTCGGCGGAGGCGATTGCAAAAGTAGTCTGTTTGTATCCTTTTGATTGTGACTGCTCCCACTACCTCCGGGGTTTTGGGGAATGCCGTTATTGGTGGTTACGGTGGCAATTCGAAAGCCTAATCCCTTTTCTTCCCTTTTGATAAGTTTGCCGCTATGGAACCGGGTTGGACCCGCAACCTGTTTCCGGAGAATGCTTGGAATCGGACCCGATCTCGTCCCGCCGTTGAGGTGTTTCTTCCTATCCTCAAGGAGACAGTAATTGGCCTCCGGATGAACCCTCATCGGAATCGGACCCGATCTCGTCTTGCGGTTGAGGTGTTTCTTCCTGTCCTCAAGGAGACAGTAATCGGCCTCCGGATGAACCGTCATCGGAATCGGTTTTGGGTTTGAAATGTGCTGGCGGAAGTGCTGATCGACGACGTTCTTCTTCGAAATGCAGGGGAGGCTCGGGACGAAGGGACCAAAAACAACACAGATTCTAACGAAAACGACATCCACGATTCTCGCCATCGATTCGACGCATTTATCGAACGTCTGGTTCCAGAGGGAGATTTCTCTGTAAAACCGAACCTGTTTTCTCTGAAACGCAATCTTTTCATTGAAGTAATCGAGATTTGTTTTCTGAAGTTTCGTGGGGTTGCCGTTTTTCTTCAATTTCATGATCTTCTTCTCCGATGATTCCAACTCGTTTAGTGCCACCAAGGATGCATGCAGGATCGATGTTGTGTTCACATATTTCTCCATTCTCTCAATCATCTTCTCCACAATTCTGGATTTGAACTCTGTTCCTGTCCAATTGACAATCCCCTGTTTCATATTTTCATATGTGGTGTCGAAATTGTTGAGTTCTGCATTGGTACATTTTTTTCCCAGACGTGCAATTGTTCTGGCAGCTTGATTTAGATCTTCCAGCTTCTCAGCGCAAGCGAGGTTCAGGAGAAAGCTATCGTCTTTTGAGTTCAAGAGGGCGACGCCTTGGGATTTCATTGGCCCTCTACGGAGCATAAGGAACTCTTGATCGGAGAGGGAATGGTAGAGGGCGACAAGGCGGGACATGGCTTTGGCGGTCTCGAATGCAAGGATGCCTACGGTGGGAGGATGGAGATTGGAATGGGACGGATGGTGGCGGAAGAGGTTGCGAGTGGCGGATCCGGCCCTAGTCGCCTTGTCAGAGAGCCACGTCATGGTTGGCCTGTCTCTGCTATGTCCGGCGATGATCTTAAAGTGAGTTGGTTGTTATTTTGATTTTGAAGGTGGGTTGCAGGGGAGGGGAGAGGGTATTTGAGGAGGCCACAGCCATTGTGGGTTATTTCCCAGATTTTTCATTGAGACGCGCTTGGCCTATTCATTTTACAAAGAAAGATACGAATTATATGAGATGGAATATTAATTAGTGAAAAAAAGAGGGGAACATCCAAGATTAATTTGAGGAAAAAAACAAGAGAATGGAGTTTTAACGGTCAAATGATTGGCGTTGACTGCCACGTTGGAGTAGACCGGAAGTTATTTCGGTTGACTGTGTCAGTTCAGATTATGCCACGCCAGTGTAAAACAACGGGGATTCACTTTAATTTTATTTTTTACTTTTTAAGATTTACAGGAGGGTTTTTTTTTTTTTTTTGAACAAATTCGCAAGGTCGAATTTAAACCGTTATCTGAACGTGGG